AAAAAAAAAACTGATATTCCAATCCATTAAAAAATATATTAAAAATTAATCAAATGGACAGAAATGTTTCGGTTCATTAATAGAAAGTTATAATAAGGGATTGTTTAAACAGAAGAATCAAAAAAGAAGGTAAAAAATGAGGATTAGAAAATTCAAAAAAAAAAAAAGAAGGTGAGAAATGAGGATTAGAAAATTATTATAATGATAAGAAATATTCCGATCCATTAAGTTATTATTACTATAATGATAAGAAATATTCCGATCCATTAAAAAATATATTAAAAATTAATCAAATGAACAGGAATGTTTCGGTTCAATTAATAAAAAGTTATAATAAGAAGGAATGAATTAAACAGAAAAATCAAAAAAAAGAAGGTAAAAAATGAGAATTAGAAAATTATTATAATGATAAGAAATATTCCGGTCCATTAAGTCGTATACATTTCTTACCATTACCACAATTTGACCTGATCAGCAAGACGATTTTGGTAATTGAAATTAGTAGAAATTAAGATTAAATTAATTGTATAATGCATGTTATTAGTGAAAAAGATGTCATAGAAAAGGAGTAGTTAATAATATGCAGGGAAAGGTAAAATCTTATCGCAGACGGTTTTATTAGTTCTATAAGGAAAGATAGTGATAAGTGAGACGTACACATTCCTATTCAGCACCATAACTGAATCTCGCCACTACGGCAGTTGTGATGTTGGTGTGGGCATGAAAATCGCTGTTTTTTTTAAAGGTTTTCGCTAAAATTTGAAGTAATTTGGTGTTATTTTCAGGCAGCCGAAACGGGTAGCGGTAAAACGGGTGCATTTTGCTTGCCCGTTTTACAGATTGTATGGGAGGCACTTCGTGATTCGATGCTTGGCAAAACCCATAAACCAGCAAATTTGGTCGGTAAGCATCTTTATTTTTTGTATTTTTGTAGATTTACGGTCCTCACGCTTTCCCGGGCCAAAACATCTGTTTGCTGCGGTTTTAGAGGACAGTTACGACCACTGGATCTCGTGAATATGCGTGCACTATTTACTAAAATTACACATAGTTACGCATATTGTAGCTCTGTATCGTTTTAACAGGAAACTGGCATAATAGTGGGAGAATTTTTCATAAATTGTAGATTAGTAAGGATTAGAGGGGGAAAATTTGTGGGAAAATTTTTCATAGATTAGTAAGGATAAAGGCCACAGAACAAATGTCAGGGAGGGAGATAATGGACCGGGATGGAGGGGGGTGCGGGGGAGAGGGGAGGGGAATGATAATAAGAATGTATAAAATGTAATTTTGGGGAGTTTGAGTTAGTGATAGGGGGCGAAATTGTAGATTATTTAGGATCTTGAAGCTTTTTTAGGGACAGAACGAAGGTTTAGATGGTAAAAAAAGACGTCTGTGTTTCATCTCTTAGCTGTAAACATAGATTCGACGACTGTTTATAAATTATACGTGAAAGAGGCTTGACGATTTTTCAGATGAGCGATGGTGTTTGAATGTATACGATAGAAACGATAATCTGGCTGTTGATCCGGATGGCTTGTTGTGTCAGAGTCGTGACCCAAAAGCATGGAACGGAGCACGCTGCACACGTGGTGTTCTTGGCAAAGGTTATTAGCACCGTTTTTTTTTTTTTTTTCGTTATCGAATTGGAACCAGTTCTTTCGCAGTTTCATAGTATTTTGATACTGCTGTTCTAAAAACATGAAATTAGGCTGTATTGATACTGTTGTTAAGAGAATCTACTATGGCCGGGTTTTGATGAAAATTTTCCACATGTTTTTTGGGGGTAATTTGTAAAAAAAAATTACCTACACAGTTCCAAAAATACTCCTACGGAAAAGACTGATTTAAATATCGTGTGACTGTGGATATATTTTTGAGCAGTCGATGTTTCATCCCTGAGCTGTAAACACAGACAGAACACAGCATGCGGATAGGAATGTGAGTCATCGGCGCAGCCTCCCACTCGTCACGTATGATGTGATGAGAATGTTTCTGACTGCTGAAGGCTAGCGTAGAGAGAAGATACAGGGAAAAGAAATAGGGCAATGAGAAATAGTGTGGGAAGAGATGCAGTGAGAAATAGTGGGGAACGAAAATACTGAGGCAGTGACTGAATTCAGGGGGGAGGGGCGAGAGGCTTTTCATCCCCCCTCCCCCAGGGGCTCAGATAGCAGTTGTTTTACTACACGAAAGTCTGTTCGATAGCCCCTGTCCCCTCTCCCTGGTCCTCCGTCCCCAGGAGCCCTACCATCCTCAGTTTGGTGTCCACCAGCGAGAGAGGGGGGGGAAGGGTTGAGTATAGCGGGGTTGCCGATGCGGTCACCAAACGGGAGGAAGATGAGGCGGAAAAAAAAATCGTTTCCCTCCCTCCCCCCTTTTCTGAAGCCGCATATAAAAAGAGTGAAAGAAGAGATGAGAGAAAGGATTTATTTTTAAGAAAAAAATGTTAACTAACATACTGGAAAAAAAAGCACACGTCTTGGACACCTTCACTGGTGATTCAGGAGCATAGGATTAAGAATGAAGAGGATTAAAATAGGACTATCTTGAAAAAAAAGACATGTCGTTGCGTGAGATCTGCAAGAAAGCAAATAATCATTCGGGTAGTTTTGAGGGGGAGGGGTCGCAAATCGATTAGGTTGCGGGTATGCTATCCGATATCGATGAAATTTGGCATAATGAATCAGATATGCCAGAACAATCCAGTAATACGATGAGTAACTGGTAGCATGTGACTGTCTTGATAACCTTGGTATTTTATTAATAGTAATAATAATAATGATAATAATAGTAATAATAATAATAATAATAATAATAATAATAATAAT